GGGCCGGTGGGCACGGGCTGTGGAGGAGGACGCCTTGCCTCGCGGGCTCCTCGGGCCAGGACCCAGGGAGGGGCGCGCGCCAAGGTCCGCGCCCGCGAGGGCCGGTGCGGGGCTGCGGGCTGCGCGAGAGCCTCGCACCCTCTCCTGATGTGCAAATGACGAGCTGGGGGCTCGGGGTCCAGAAACTTATTTGGGAAGGTTGAGGAGTCCGTCCTTATTAGTTGGAGGAGGTTTGCCCTGCACGTGAGTGCGTTGTTGGGTGCAGCACCTGTTCCCTCGATGTACGCACGGAAATGATCCGAGACGCAGCGTGTTTCTTAAGTTAAATGACATTGTCATGTTTGGTTTATCCCTGGTGAGCTCCTAGCGTTGTGTGCCCTATTTGACCCTTTAGATGGAGGCCTTGGATAAAATAGGTGGTGTTCTCTCCGTCCTATGTTTGATTTAACAGTTTACTTAATTCAACCTAAGAAAGTAGACCCAAGGAAAGCTAGACTCCAGTAGATAACGTCCAGGGTTGGGGCAGGGGGACAAATAGTTCTTTTTTAATCAGTTTGATCTTACCGCAAGTAACCGACTTAACTTTGACTTGTTTTTATAGAAACTACGCAGGTTGCGTTATAGTTTTTTTATTGTTATCCTTGGGGTAAGGTTGTATATACTTTTTTTCTTAATTTAAGCCCCATATTTTATTCATAAATCTTTAGAGGTACATCATAAAGAAAGTGGGAGAGAAATCATTTATTACAATAATGGGTTAAGTTGTGTCCCTTAAAACAATCTGAAATCTTATGCCAGGTAATCAGGTCTTGTATATTGCTATCCTCGTGAAATATTGTGTATGGAGATTTTAATTATTTATAAATACTACAGTATTAAAGGGAAGGAAATTCAAGTGTTTCAACTTGTGATTTTACAGGCTTAGTGTGGAAAAAATGTAATGAGTTAGAGATGCATAGGTTATAAAGAATATGTAAAGATGGTTTGGAGGCATGGATTTTGTTGCTATATAAATTGAGAATTCTGTTTGAATTAAAGAGCTTAACAGCTGGAATGGAACTTGCATAGACTGCAGAAACGGATGCAAAAATGTGTCTGATTAAATGGCAAGTTAACATAAAGGGTATCTTACGGTTTACTAGGTAGTGATTAAAAACAATTTGAATATGGCACTGTATAGATTGTATTTTAAGGATATTCTTGAATTTAAAAGTCCCGAAGTTGTTTTCCTACAAAGCCTCGTTTACGATTTGTAGAACTGAAACAGTCATTCTAACTGCATTCTGCAATATTTTGCTTAAATACTAACCAGTTATTTGTAAGGAGTAAGAATGTCTTTAAAAGTGGTAAAGTTTGAAATTTGCGAGTGGGTAGGTAAAACGTGTGTGTGTATGTGTGTGTTTTTTACTTGTGTGTGTGTGTGTGTGTGTTTAAATGGAGTTGTATTAGTAGGTTGGTCTGGAGGGGGAGCTAGTGCCAAAGCAAAGTGTATCTTAATAGATGTTTGAACTTTTGAAACACCTAAAAGCAGACTTTTATCACTAGGAATAACATACAATTTTAATTTGTAGGGGGGTTGGTGTGGGCATATTTCTGTAGGTAGTTATTTTGTAGGGTGCATATGTTGTGTATTTCACATTAGTTTAAATCATCTTTTCATAATCTGAAATAATGAAAGCGAATGTTGCTTGAATTTCTTATATAAGAATCTTTGAAAACATCTTCTAAAAATTATTTTCTTTCCCTTCTCCATGAAGTACGTCAGAGGATAAGGTGCGTTCTTGGCCCTTGGTACATCTTTTTTTTTTTTTTTTTTTCCTGAAACTGGGAATCGAACTCACGACGTTGCCCTTGCCAGGCAGATGCTGTGCCGCTGAGCTAAATCCCCAGCCCCAATCCCCCGCCCCCGCCCTTTGTACATCTTGCGTGTTAAACTTTTTTCCACAACGTCTGTAGTCCTAAAACGGGAGAAGAGGGGGAGTGAGAGGTGAAAGAGAGAAAGAGTTGGGAAGAGGGAGAAAGAATGCCAGCTTGCCTAAAGTAGGGTCTTCTATGGGTGTGGATTTTAATTGTTCAGTACGGTAGGTATTTATCGAAAGTAGAAATATTTTGAATAAAAAATTGGACCCTTCGGACATCTAGAGAGCAATATCTGCAGGTCACTTCTTAACCATTGTAACCGATGTCTCCTGTAGTATAATGCAATGAGTCCAGCTGATCTACTAAGTTAAATTTGTGCTTTTGAATATGAAACAGATGTTATTTTGTTTTTGTGGTCAGTGATACTTTATTTAGATTTTTAAACTATAATCAGCTAGTTTAATTTACTTCCTATCATTCACATACTCTTTTATCCAAGTCTAGAAAGTTGATAATGCTATGTACATTAAAATTATTAAAATATTCACTTTTCTGGGGGTAGTGGTTGGGCTCTTTGTTATCCATAGCCTCATTGTGTAAATAGAATCTCAATGCTAATAAAATTTAAAAAATAGATTTTCCCATTTCCTTAATGATCAGTTTTGATTGACTATAAACTTTGGTAAATGTCTTGTTTAGTGAGATGATAAATGGCCCATATTATAGCACATTTATAAATACAGAAGTGATTCATCCCATGAGTAAAATTTTAAAAATGTCAATAAATTCCTTTACTTAAGAAACTAAGATTATGCAACTCTGAAACTAAAAAATTATTATTATTGTTACAGTGCTTTTGTATTTATATCAGTCCTGATTCCATCGGTCCTTTTTGATGAGATACCAACTTTCTTTTCAGTCATCAGTAGTGTAGTAGTTAGAGGATTCCTATGTTTCTCCTTGAGTGATTTTGTGGCTTATATTTCTGTACCATACAGTAGAATAACTTGCAACTTGAGTTGTTTTTAAATTGTAGCAAATTGTAATGAAACAGTTAAATATATTTATAAGTAAACATATTTACAACTGACTTTTAAAGAGCATTTAAGAAAAATCCATAATAGAAGCATATTATATGGATGTGTGCACATTTAAAATATTTTTCTAAATTGATTAGTCTCAAGTCTCAACCTTGCTTGCTGGGTGTTGTGGTACATGCCTGTAATCTCTGCACTGGGGAGGCTGAGGCAGGAGGATTGCCATGAGGTTGAGGCCAGCCTACACTACATAGTGAGTTTAAAGCTATCCTGAATTACAGAATGAGATCCTGTCTCAAGGGGGAAAAAGGCTCAACCTTGCTTCCTCTACGATATATTTTTTTGCATGTATTTCCCCTTCCCCAGTCACCCTTCATCATCCAGTTTTCTCTTTGGAATAATTAGAAATTAAACCAATAAAATTAACCTTATCACTTTACTGGTGAAAATTTTTCTTGATTAAGTAACTTTGTATCAATCTCTAAACTATTCTGATCATACAACCCATATAAGCTTAAGTTTTTGTATACTGCACATT